GGTTCAGCGGTTGCCTCGGCAGCTGCAGCGACAACGGACGAGAAGAAAGTCAACACAAATCCGTTCATAGATTCGAATCCATTTTTAGGATTGCTCAATCCTTTTGCTAATGATCTAAGCCCGACCCCGATTACGAAAACGTCAGTTATCGAGGACGTTGTTGCGGAAGATAAGGCAGATGGCCCATGCGTGAATGGGACGAGAGTTGTGAAGACAGAGGAAATACAGACGACTACGACGACCCTTACGCATCAAGTAAGATTTATTATGGCTTGCGCATTCGTTTGTTTAATGATGTTGTTAATATATATTTCCTAGCCAAACATGTGAATTATTGTCTTGTGTGATGTTTTCGTAGCCACGAGAAAAAAGTTTGTCTGAAGTTAGTCGGGTATCGAGGACGCTTCAGCGAAGTTTTTTCATTTATGTAGATTATCCATTTTGTTGCTGTTGTTTTTTGTTTTTTTGCTATATTTTGATAATTTCGTAATAAGTAAATTTTAAAATCGTAATAATATTATTTGCTCGGATATTTTGCTTTTAAAGGTCGGTCAAATGAGCGAGATTGGTTATAATCGAGTAATAATTTCTTAGTCGAAATTCACGACTATTGACACTTGCCACTTGCCACGTGCCACCTTAGAGAGCCAAGAAAACAATTGCTTCATCTCCTTTTACATTTTCACACTATAAGAATTCACAAATTGACCGTCAATAGATCAACGAGCAAAACATCATGCGTCTCGTCGCGCACACAATACTTATCTTGTTAAAAAAAAAAAAAAAAAAAAAAAAAAAAAAAAAACCCACCGACGCAATCTTGCTTATTTATAAAATTACTGCTTTTCAACCTGTTAATAGGATAATGGACCAGCAGCATCAGATATTAGTCCCTGGTTGGTTGCAGATCCACCTCAAGCTCCAACGACTACTCAGAGTCCTGCAAAGCACACCGTAATAACTCGCAAGACAGTCATCACAACCCAATTGTAAGCCCTTAAAGGCTCCCATGCGTTCACCTGCTAGCATAACGTAAAAGAATCCGCGACGTAGTATTACTATTTATAACAGAGTTGCTGAATATATTGTCAGTTTGAGCTTTGCATCCAACGAAGGCACGGTGATGCTGCATTATTGTAAAATCAGCGAGCTATCGATGCCATGCTGAACAAGCTTACTTTCCTTGCTGGTGCTACCATTGCTTCTCCACCTACAGTTTTATTATTAATTTGTAGCTAGAAATTGCAATCTTCGAATGAACGATGAAGCTGCAATGAGTTAGTTATTGAAAACTTGGGCTCCAGTGCATTGTGTGCCATGTTTCATGAAAGGCAGTCTACTCATCAATATTTATGAAATGAAGATTTCTTTCCATATTGTTGAAGCTACGATACACGAAATCTCTTCCAAATTGACCAATTTTTCAAATATTTTAAAAGACTGGAATTTCTACGACATAAATACGTATGTATATACATTCATATATATATATATATATATATATATATATATATATATATATATATATATATATTATCTATCGCAGGGAACAACCCGGCACGAGGAAACGTGGCCTGATTTAACAAATATTTCGAAACATTTGCCACAAGTAAAGAAATTAAAACGTGCCTTAAAATAAAAGAAGAAGAAGAAGAAGAAGAAGAAGAAGAAGAAGAAGAAGGAGAAGAAGAAGAAACAATTCACTTACGTTGGTGCGGCAAAGACTGTTCTCCATTTTTTACCAAGTAAAAAATCATCATTTTATAAAAGGTAGTGAGATTAGTTGAAATATAAAGCGAGTCGAAATGTATTTAAGAAAATTCATCTTTATTTACAAGATTATGCAGTTTTTTTTTTTTTTTTTTTTTTTTTTTTTTTTTAAAAATTTTAAAGATACTACTTTCCATAACGATGAAATCGGCTTAGAGAATTACTTTAGATTTGTGTAAATAAAGATTCGAAATTACTTGTAAAATTGTAAAATTTTTATCATTTTCGTCACAGTATTAAAAGTATGACTTTGCAAATATGTACTTAATATTATATTTAAAAAAAAAAAAAGTATTTTTAATAACTTTGTGACCAACACATTCCAATTTTGATCTCTGTAGTCAAATTTAGCCAGATATTACTATACAAATCCGACTCGTGTCATAGTCATGCATTTATCGAATAATTACGAGAGTAATATTTCCAATATAATTTTAATCACTCAATTTTGTGATTAGGCACCAACTATATGTATATGATAATGGAAAGTAACCGCAGTGCTTTAAAATTTTATGTGCATTGTTATAAAGTTTTATTATATTATGTAAATTGCGGCTATATCGTAGATGTTGAATAGATTTGTGTAAACACAAATTTGCCTTATATACACACACGCACGCACACGCGCGCGCGCGCGCGCACACACACACACACACACACACACACACACACACGATTTTAATAAAAAGAAAATCATGGTTTTGCTTTTTGTTTAACTGCTTAATGAATATTTTTATGTTAATTATTCGCTTAAGTCTGTTTTACGATGCTTTTATTGCGAGATTAAAGAGTTTAATAATTGACGTACAAAATATGTTTTGCTTGATATGTTTAAGGCACCTCGCCAATGATAATTCAAATGCAAATTTTACCGTATATTTTTAAATAAAATTTTACCATTTTTCGACACAAATAAAATTCTTTTTGAATATGTAGTGTACAATCCATCAAGAATATACATGTAATAATTATGTATGGTCTTTCTCTTTTGTCCTAATAAAACTAGACAATAATTTCATACATTTTGCCCTTTGTGCGAATTTATTAAAATACTTATACACACATATATTGCTTTTTTTTTTTTTTTTTTTTTTACCCTCCTCTCATAATAAACTTAGCCATGTGAAAATACAATATTACGTTATTATAAATAAATAAAATATTTACTCGTTTAACGTAAAAGTATTTTTCGAATTTATTAAATAAAAAAAAATAATAATAAATAAAATAGAATAATAATAATATACAATTATTTAGACCATTTACAAAAAGTCTGTTATATTACGTTATTATAAATATAAATAAACTATGTATTTTAAATGTAGAAAAACATTTGCTCGTTTAACGTATTCTTCGAATTTATTACATTAAAACTAATATTATATTTTCTCGACTATGCACAACAAGTCCGTTATAATTAATAAACTTAATATATCACATAAAAGTAAGTTAATTCAATGCACATTATACTTGAGCGATATCAAACATCGATGCAACAATGGCGGCGAGTGCTGGAAGTTTTACGTTTACCTATTTTCGGTGACAGTGGAATCGTTATAATCCGTTTTTTCACAGTTGGCAAAGGCACATATTTACGTATCGGTCGAGCTTTAAAAAGTGTTAATTTTCTTGCATCATCTGTTTGGTGCTTAGTCTCTTCCTTAATTTTCTGCAACATCGAATAGAATTTATTTAAAAAGACAGGAGTACATGAGGCTTAAGTCGAACAACGAGAAATACCTTTTAAAAAGCATTAAACTAACATCAACTCTAAATTACAACTACTTACAAGTAATAAAGGAAGCAACAATTAAGGTTTTAAAGGTTGGTGGCTAGATGATTCGAATAATTATCTAGTTAAAATTTTTATTTAAACAATAGTCTGCATATAATACATAATTTATCGAGTATTTAAATTTAAAAATTAGTAAACATTTTATAAGCGATTCTTTTTTCGAACAAGATTTTTTATATCGATTTGTATTTCAATTAAAAATTTATCGCGGTTAATAAAAAAAAAAAAAAAAGCATCTTCTTTACGATTGTAGTGCTTTAACTGGGAGGCATCAAGTTTATTTGGAAAAAAAAAAAAAAAAAAAAAAAAAAAAACAGAAGATAAAGATGAAGAAAAAAAGAAGATATATTACGCTTTATTAGCGATTGAAAAAATGTTTTATATACTTTGACGAAACGTAAATGCAACAAACGAGGGAATTAAATTTGTTAAAGTCACAGAATTTTTAATTTCTTATACAGTTATTATTATATCGAGCGCTTTCATTCTTTTCCCTTTTCTCTTATCTAATAATATTGTACAATTATAATGGTACGAGACCAATCAATACCTTCAATTTATTAGATTTGTGAATTTCTGTTTCTTCTTTTTTATGCGACTCTGTTGAAGGAATTATGTTGCCGTTTTTTGTATCTATAACATGTGTCGACACTTTATTGTTATTCTTTGAAATAATATCTAGCTTGTTTTTGTCTTTGTTGCCTCTCTCCTTCTGACATATCTTCTCGCTTGAAATGGGAAACTTTGGGGTATTGCCTATTTTCTCATTCCCTTTATGCAATCGTTGACGATTCTGTTTAAATTCTGCTCTTATGGCTGTCAAGAGTCTAGGCGCTCTCGGAGTTCTCGGACTTACTTTGAATACCGATACTTTAGCTTTGTAATGGCTCAATCTTTTCTTCTTTGACTGAGGAAAAAAATCATTACTTTTATTACTTTCAACGTATGTAAAACAAAAAAAAAAGTATTTAAATGAATTTACGGTAAAATAATTAGGTTTTTTCAATGGAATTACTCGAAAGACTTCCAAATTTCGTTTAGTATTCTTCTGCAACGATTTTTACGTTTAAGAACCATTTACTCGTGAGAAATATGTTATATTTAAACTATTTTATTATTATAAAGTATTTATCTTACCGAATTCTTATTCTTATTCCTTTTAATCTCTTGCCTTATTTGATAAGTTATACTCGCAGAACTTTCTTCGGAATATTGCTTTTTTATATCGACACATTCGTCGTTAACATTTGTCTCGGTCAACTGTAATATCGAACAAAGCAAAAAGCTACAATTTCACGTCATTTAATTGGTTGACAAGTTAAATAAGAAGAGAATTCGTTATTACATAGGTAAAGAGACTGTTTTCATTTTGAAGTAATGATTTCACAGCTTCGGGAGATCTTTAAAAAATTTAACTCTATTAATATGCGTATTAATTATTAATGCAATTAAAAACAAAACAAAAAAAAAATAAATAAATAAATAAATAAATAAATAAATAAAAATACGTACTGCAAACTTGGATCTTTATTTATACAGTTATTCAACAACTGCAAATTTCGACGACCTATACATAGACATTCGTAAAATAATTGTTTATCATTTGATTGAAATATTTTAAACGAAGAATTTGCGAATTAATGCTTTCTTATAGCACTCTGCTAATAATGTCGTATGAATATTTTATAAAATATTTGCACAATATGTGCGGAAATTGGCAACATTCTGTTCTTGCTATTTCATTAGAGCTGCTTTAATGAAATATAAATACAGAAGATTCGAAGATTTTTCAAAATATTGACTACATATTGGCTTACGCGACTCTAAAGGCACATTAACATTTCTCAAGAATGGCCATTATTTTTAATAAAGGTCGGGCTTGCCTTCTGAATTAATCGATCGATTCTACAATATACTTACCGAAAATCGGCACTGGTGCAAAATTAATCATGCGATTCAAACTCAAATATGGCTGAGTATTTTCTTTTATTGAATCGAAATCTGACTTTAAATCGTTCATTGAAAGCTGAGTCGAATCCTTTGGTGTTGATGTGCATCGTCCTGACAATATCACTGCTGAATTAGCCGAGAGATTAGCCAGAGGAGATACGACTTTCAAATTTACTCCACTCTTATCGCTCATTATCATTTCACTTGAAAGAATTTATCCGTTGATTATGTTGCAAAACCGAATGTAAAACCAAGTCATTAAATATATTGTATTTAGGTGCTTAATTATTATATTATTCATTAATATATGTTGCAATGCTTTTGAAATGTTTACATCTTTTATAATCGAGTGAAGCTAACTATTGACAATACTTGGACGAAACTTTCATAACAGACACATGTTGGGTCAAACCGACACAAATATATATGTTCCATTCTATTAAGGATATATATACATTACTATATCCTTCTACGTACTATTCATGTAGTCATGTACGTACATACTGTTTACTTAATTATTTTTCCACTTTGGCTTCATCTATTTATTTTGTGAATAACAACAACAACAACAACAACAACAACAACAACAACAACAACAACAATAATAATAAATGGATAAACTTGTTGAATCATTATTACAGAGTGGCAATACCAAGTTAATTCTTCATGGAATATTATAGCTTTGCAATAATTGAATGAATAAATATTGAGTGGCGATTGAGAAAAACTAAACATAATTTTGTCTCAAAGTTTGAGATTTAGTCTCCTTTAAGCATTTCTATTATTCACGATCAGTTTCATCGTTTAACTTGATTTTATATATAAAATTTTTCCTTCGTTTTGTCTTTTCAACGATTTAAATACTTATGTAGTATCATTGTTCGAGTAGTAAGCTCAATAGTGGAATAATGATAATAATAATAATAATAATAATAATAATAATAATAACTAAAACAGCTTGGTCCGTGATAAATGAGCTGATAGATGGTTTTATTTTAATAATGTATGTGCTTCCCTGCGTACATTATCATCCGTGATAAATGAGCTGATAGATGGTTTTATTTTAATAATGTATGTGCTTCCCTGCGTACATTATCATTATAATAATTATTTTATTATTTGTAATCATAAATAAGATAGAAGTAGAAGTAGATGTAGAAGTAGAGAATTGATGAGTAGTAGTACAACAATAATAGAGGACAGTAATAGCAATCAAGTAGTTTTATTCAGTGAGTTGCTGATATTTTTACTATTTTCAAATTTTTCTTTTTTATTTTTCCTGCGCACGTTGCGAAAGTCATTACATTTGAAAAAGTGTAACAATGCTTACACCCGGTATATTAAATACGGAAGAGTGAAAAGAGATAATTATACACACACACACACACACACACACATATATATATATATATATATATATATATATATATATATATATATGTATATATATGTATATGTATATGTATATAGCGACGCGTTTATCGTGCAGCATTTATGACATGTACAATAATAATATAGTAATAATAAGTAGAATAATAGAGGAGAGAGATGCTGGTGCTGCGAATGTAGAAATTCGATAAATAAAATTTGGCTCCTCGGACGAAATATTGTGACATTAGCGTTGTCGATGCTCGTAAATACACGTTCAGTTGAAGAAGTCACGCTTTGCATTCCGTCCCGATATTTACTCCTCCTCCTCTTCCTCCTCCTCCTCTTCCTCTTCCTCCTCTTCCTCCTCCTCCTCCTCCTCCTCGTCCTCCTCCTCCTCTTCTTCCTCCTCTTCCTCCTCCTGGTTCTCGCTACCCTCCTCCTCTTCGTCCTCGTCGAACTGAGGCTCCTCGAGGTCGTCGTCGGCCGCGGCCTTTACGTCTTCCTCACCTTCCGGCGACTCTGGATCGCCGGCCTTCTTACCCGGCCTTTCACCGAACCACTTCGGCAGCTTCGCTATTTATTTTACAGGACAAAGATTGTACGGGAACGGTTAAACGAGTTTATGATGCCCCCTACCCTCACACGCATACACATACAAACATAAATTCACGCACGCACGCACGCACGCACACTTACACAGCCACTTGCGCACATATCATCCCCAACCAAACCCCACCCCCATAACTCCGAAATGGGTGTGCTTTTGCTAGAAGGAACTTTAACGACCATTTACTTTCGCCCATAATTTTATAGCGAACAAACTCGGCGCTTCGTGAGATTTTGCTATTTAAAAGAGCAAATTTCAGAATTCTTTTACCGTTCGAAAGAGAGAGAGAGAGAGAGAGAGAGAGAGAGAGAAAGGAACCGCGCTTATAAGTTAATGACCTATTATATTATGATGAATTTTCGGCTCTTCGACAATTTGACGCACCTCCCCATTCAGGAGTCGATGGAAGAATTGAAGGAGCGAAGAAAGATTTCTTTGTTGTAGGAATATTAGGAAATCGGTTATAGAAAAACATTATCATTTTTTGGTTTCTGTTACGAGTGGAATTGGTTTTCAAATATCACGGCAAACGTTATGTATCTATACATACATACATACATACATACATACATACATACATACATACATACATACATACATACATACATACATACATACATACATACATACATACATACATACATACATACATACATACATACATACATACATACATACATACATACATACATACATACATACATACATACATACATACATACATACATACATACATACATACATACATACATACATACATACATACATACATATATGCATAAATGCATGCATGCATGCACACACACACACGCGCGCGCGCACACATATACGCACACGCACGCACACATATATGTAAATATACCTTTTTGACGGCCAAGGAATTGTTCTTTCTGCTGGGTCCAATTTTTCTCCGTTGACTCTTTCTGCGCTTCCGTCAAGCCCTGCAACAACAAAGGACAAAAACATAGCATGCTAGGATCGACACAGGAGCCATTTCACATATAATTTTTTTTTCTTTTCTGCACTCGCACCTTGATCATCTTGATCTCGATCGTTTAAAGGAGATAAGGGAAGGTGTGCAGATTGGGCTTTATATCATTATCAACAAAAACATCATCGTTATTAATATTATTGTATAAAGGTCTGTCAAATGAAAATCAATCAAAGATAAAGACAACCGGGGCATGACACGCATTCCTTTAATTATCGATTCTTCATTTTTGTCAGTCACTGGGGGACAAATTTTTGTCACAGGCATTTATTTCCGAGGATATAATGTTGTGGCGTTAAATTTTTAAGTGTGGACGTATCAATAAAAGGGGAAAAATCAGAAATACGTGGAGTAGTCGAGGTGAACGGTAATTTTGTCGTTGTGCGGTGGGAACGTGGTCAGACTCACTTTTGGTGCGTTTCATGAACTGTTCCGCTCTCTGTTTCCAAAGTTTCTCATGGTATTCCGCATAAAGCGTATTATAGCCCTGCGATTCAAGCCAATACATCCTTGCGTTTATAAATTTATATATCCAAGGTTATGTGAAATCTGTGTGATGTCTGTTTGTGTCCGTTACCATTATTCATAGTGTCAATCGTTGCGAAAACCACCGACACTGATATGTCTATCCCCCACTCTCGGCGAGCCGAGGAACGAAGTTTTAAAGTGTAATCGTCATCAATCGTATTTTTATTTTGTTTTGTTTTGTTTTTGGTTTTTGTTTTTGTTTTTGTTTTTGTTGCGATAAATTGTCTCGCTTACGATGAGATAAAGAAGGGAAAAGAAAAGAAGAGGAATACTCACGCCTTCGAATAGTTTCTTCTTATCGTCATAAGACCTAGTATCCACGCGACGTTCATATTTTGAAGCAACTTGGATTTTGGGCTGAAAAAGGAGAGAAAAGTTTAAGTAGAATTAAATATAAGCAGAAGAGTGGGCCGAACCTCTTATTATGCCAAACTCTTTATGCTAAAAATAATAATCATTAATAGCAGTAGAACGATGGCAATGTACCATGTTAATGAATTATGTTTATTAGCAATTAATTATAATTCTTTTGATTATCGTTAAGGTTTGATATTTAATAGTACGGCGATAATTTTGTCATTAATTATACGATAATCCGATCGAGTCCTTTATTAAGATTTAGTTTCATTATTAAATCGTAGTCATGGAAATTATTTAGAAATTTACAAATACTTTGCTATACATCACGACTCAATAACATCAATTTTTACGTCAATTATAATTATTATATAAAATCAATATAATAATATTATTTTTTGCTCAAAATACGATCAAATAAATTAGACTCCATTTTAAACGATAAAGGTGAACTGCGATTCACAAATTATCAGGCATAAATGCGCCCATTGAATAACATTCGTAATTGCATTAAATTTTAATCAGGAAATCTCTATTTTATATTTTTACAACTCACTGGAAAATGTGAGAAAATTAATTAAGTTAAATTAATTAAGTTACTTTTCTATTATCAACGTTGATATATTGCTCGTTGTAAATATGTTTACAAACTTGTTGCAAAGCATAGAAATGTTCGCGTTTGAATCGACTTAATATTAAACGAATTACTATTACTTTTTTTTATCAAAATAAAATAATAATAATATTAATAATAATAATAATAATAATAATAATAAGATACTATAATTTTCAAAAATTATGTAAAAATATCTATTTGGAGGAATTATCAACTGTAACTAATAAAGCAAGCAAACAATTAATTTAATCTAGTATGTATGTATGTATATATATATATATATATATATATATATATATATGAAAGAAAAGAAAAAATGTAAATACATACGGGATATTTGCCTGTAAGAGCTTCGGGGTCAAGACCCTTTTTGAGGGCCTTGTGCCTGAGCTGCTGCTTTTGTCTTTCCTTCAACTCTTTCAGCTAAAAGCAAATATTACGAAAACTCTTATTATGCACGGGCATGGGGACGAAATTTTGTTTCAAGTAAAACATGATACTCACGTCATAATCTTGACGCTTTTGGCGCTCCTCAAGATCGTATTTTTCGGTTTCAAGCTTAACGATGGCTTCCCAAAGATCGGTAGCTTTATTACGTAATTTATCAATGCCAAGACCTTCGATATCCAATGGTTTAATACGGATGCTTAGAGAGATTTTCTTCTCCTCCTCCAGCTGCTCTTTCGTCTTGTTGCGTTCTAATTGTGCCGACGAGAGATTTCCCTAAAGAAGTCACCCACCGTTTCGTATTAAAAATTACGAGTAATAGCGTGTATATAACCAAGGTTTATTACGTTACGTCTATTATCGATATCGATTAAGCGCGAGAAGGTAATTTGAAAGCTGTCGCGTCGGGTTGCGCTTGACACTTTCGCTCTTGAATTAATTATCCACATAATTTATGGACAACGAATGCTGGCAATTGGATTTTAACGCACGTCGAAACAAGCACTTATCATTAAATTAAGCTCGAATTTGCATTAACGACAATTTTGCCATTAATATTTTGGCTTTCATAACGATGTGAGAATTTTTTTTATGGAAGTGACAAAAGTAAGGTAGTAAGAAAAGTGGCAAGAGCGCGTCATCGGCTAAAACCGGTAAACTTTCTAAGAATCTTAATAATGTTAGGCTTATGTCATTATACAGTCATCGTACTAACGGATAGGTCTTTTTTCGTAATGGTGAAGTTGGGTCCTTTCTTGCTCGCCTGGTCCTTCATTGCCTGCATCATAGCCTGGCGCTTCTTCTCGGACTCTTCCAAACGTCTGCAACAAGTTTCGCGTCATCCCACGATACGTTAATGTCGACGGATTATCAATTGCTTACCTTCTCTTCTCTTCGATATCTCGCTGTTTCTTCTCCTCTGTAATAATAAAGGACATTATGAGTTTGACGAGCCAATGCAAGAGCCTCGCAGGGGTAATGATAATTAGGCGCGGGAATATTACCAATTTCACGTTGGCGGCGCTCCTCCTCCTCCTTCTTCTTTTGGGCCAATCGCTTCTCTTCTTCGGCACGCGAGATCTTGCGTTTCGCCTGCTTCTCCTATGAACGTACATAATACGGTATGTAATTAAATTCCGATCAATGGCGATCAATTACGATTGAGTAGCCGGCGATCGAGCGCCCATACAGACTTATACGTTCCGTAAAAAATTACATCGCATATGCTGATCTTCGAAGAATTACGATTATCGTACATACGCGAATCACGAGAATGTGGAGAAGAGTCTCGCCATTCCTTCATTCATAACCGATAGTAATATATATATATATATATATATATATATATATATTTTCGCCATGAAATGCGAAAATTATTGTGCGAGCCCGTCACTCTCGTCGCAGAAGAAAAATAAATAAGCTAACGCGTACCTTGAGGCGCTTCAGTTCTTCCTCCTCCTTTGCTCTCTGTTTTCTCCATTCCGAAATATATTCCTTCAGTTGTTCGTCGAGGTCGCTTCTCTTCTGTTCCTGCCTCTGTCGACGAATAAATTAAGAATTTCGATCATTCGTACACAACGCTAATATCACGGAGATGTTTTCCTCATGAAAATATCATCGGCTATGATTTTAAAATCTCGACAGCGTAATGTGCGTTCAAACGTCACGGAGCCCTCGTTACTTTAACATCTTACAACGATTATAAATAAAGCCAGTGTTTTCTAATTTACTCGGCGTATGTTTTTTTTTTTTTTTTTTCTTCAACAAAATTTCACCCGATGACATGAGATCTTTTTTCAAAAATGAGATTTTTTTTACATTTATCGTTCGTTGCTGTGCAACGTGGAGTCTTTGATCGTTGGCCATTTGTTCTTCTGGTTATTAGGCGCCCAATTATCGTTTTGCCAAAAATTCACGAGACATTACTTGGCCCCGAAAGTCGTAAAGTAATAATAAAAGCTCAATGAATAGTTTTCACGCGAATTAAAAAAACAATGAAAACAAAAAAAAAAAGGTGCTAAAAATAAATTGACGAGATAAAGTGCAAAAAAAAAAAGAAAAAAAAAAAAAAAGAAAAAAAGAAAAAAAGAAAAAAAGCGTTTTGGAAAATGTACGATTACCATCTCGACCGCTCCTCCTCTCACGCTTATTTTAATGAGCAATTTCTCTCCGTGTATAATGACAACAACAACAACAACAACAACAAGAACAAAAATATATAGCTTACCCTCATAAACTCGACATTTTCACCGGAATCCCTGGATACGAGGTGAGCGAAAACAACAAAAGTAACTCTCTTTAGTTTCGCCATCGAGTGGACTTTGGTCTATTTAACCGCTGCACCCGTCGCCGCGTACAAACGTCCGCCTCTCCTCGTCAATGCAATACTTTCATCTCTCACATCGCATCCTTTTTCCCCATTTTTTCTTTCATTTACTATTTCTACCTTTTTCTTTTGAAATCCTCTTCCCCCTCCCCCCTCCCCCGTCCTCTTCGCAATCCTTCACATCCCCTCCACTTTCATTTTAAACCATCGGTGTGACGCGGACAAGCGGACGGACAACGGACATAACGGACAAGTACACAGGCACACAGAAAGACACAGGCATATTGCATTGTATTGTGAACGACGTGCAAGCACGTTCAGATACAAATATAATAGACATACAAAGAACAAAGTTATGAAGAAGAAAAAAAAAAATAATAAAAATTAAAAAAAAAAAAAAAAAAAAAAAAAAATTAGAAACAAAAGTTGAATAAATTAAGCTTTAGAGCTGGTTTAAAAGTAATATTAATAAACAATCGACTTCACAGAGGCTGAGGCCGTGCTTGATATAGGCTTGCGAGACTTTTGCGTGATTATGGAGTGGTGAGGAGGGGGATCGTTGTCGTTTATAATATTCTTTGGCATTGCGCCCTCGTAGATTCATATTCCCGAGGAGCACGAGAACGCGAATAAAGCGACAATATTACAACAACGAAAACTGGCATTCGTCGGCAAAGCACCAACTCCGGCATTAATTTGTAAAATAGATTATTTTAATACGACATAAAGATTACGGAGCTAATAAAGCCATCACACAATGTACTCTTTCGCAGTGTGCTCTTTCTCTAAGAGTAATAATCAATGTTGCTTGGTTTGATAGGAAAGTTATCGAAACGAGGAGTCGGACGCGCTTTACCCGCCCAAGCCGATATTATATATATAAACAGTGGCATACAATAAAAAAATTATATGAAAATTGATAGAAGAGAAAAAGAAAAAGAAAAAGAATAAAATAATAAAAAAAAGTAGCTCGCGCATACATATAGAGAATGCGATTGGCCTTGTCTCGTACACGTGCAATAGGCTCGACTGTTTACGATTGACGATTGGAAATTCGCATATTCGCGAAACGTGAAACCACCTCTGGTGGAGGCATTTTGGCGAATTCGATGCCGCGCGGTCGAGTTTAACATTTTCAACCCAAGGCCACTTTGTGTCAACGTTTGACACGAATTCAGAATTAGATTAGACGCGGTTGTTGAGACCGGCGGCGACATCGCTGGGATGCGGTAATTGTAAAAAGCGAGCGTGGTAAACAAGCTTTTCTTTCGACTTTCGCGTAGCATTCAATGAAAGCTTCAACCATAACTATTTAAGGTGGTAAGAGAGCTATCCGTGGATAATATCGATAATATTTTATTTTACCTTTTCCGTAATCGCACACGTAACTTAAGTAGTGCAAAACGCGACAAATTAATCGACGCCAATTGTTGAATTCTTCACGATACACGCGTAACCCGCATTATCATCCTTAACTCTTTCGCAATTTCCCCAACGATTTCAGCATCTTCGTATATTCTTCGTGTTTATAAAAACGAATAATTGAAATTTTTACAGAACGCGAGAGAGTTTTGAGTGAAACAATAATTGCATTAATTGAAAAAAAAAAAAAAAAAAAAAAAAAAAAAAAAACAAAAGTCCTGGTCGTTTAATGTCGCTATAAGTGTAAATGTCGGCAAATACTACAATTCGAGATTAAAAATTTATTCTGACGATATAATGTATCTCGCGCGTTCCTCACGAGATTAATCCATCTCATCTATTTCGTACCTTTCTCTTACAATACGATCGATCGAATTAAATAATTCTAAAATTCTCATATTTATAATTATATTTTTCAAATAAAATAACTCTATATATATATATATATATATATATATATATATATATGCAGTGAGCTTGAAATTAATTTTGCCGATACATCAACGGACGTTATATTATGCTCTTCTTTTTATTTTTGGCTCCAAAACTCTGTTCGACAATATAATAATTATTGCAAATATATTGAAAGCTAGCAATAGGAGATGCCATCGACACTTCACACCTTCGATAATTGGAAGATCGTCGTCTGCTTGCGCAATGTCCGATCGATAACGAGGGTATAGATACATTGTAAGCTGCCTTTTACATTATTATTGCTGTAATTATAGTCTGCTATTAAGTTGACAGATATAACAAAACACAGTGTGCCGCGGGGACTTGTCTGACGTTTGCTCATTGCACACTCAGTACAGACACATAATCACGACATACACAGATTGCGGACAGTATTACAAAAAAAACACGATCGCGAGCTCAATAATGAAAACTGCCTGGGGGAGAAAAAAGGAAGAAAAAAAAAAGAGAAAAAAAAAACGCAAATCCCGAAGAAAAAAATAAAATAAAATATGAATAGAAACAATAAAAAGAACTCTCAATCGTTAATGATTATTGACAAACAGAAAAAAAAGGAACACGTTGTTGTAAGAAACGAGAAATGGTGATTAAACATTTGGCACATTAAGACGTGTTGTTTTATTATTGTGCGTCTTCAGTGAATTTCATCGAAACCTCCTTATAGCTCATATTTTGACGTTTTTGTACTTTTTTGTAATTAAGACGTAATGATTAAATTTATTTACAATCTATTATTATAATTGTAATGTAAAGTGACGGTGCGTGACATACGGTGCGCAAGAATTATTCGAATGGCTTTTGAGAGAGTCGTTGTGTGACTTTGTGAATAAGAGAGAGAGAGAGAGAGAGAGAGCGTGTGCGCGCGCGTGTGTGTATGACAGAGAGAGAGAGAGAGAGTGCGTGCGTGCGTGCGTGCGTGCGTGCGTGCGTGTATGTGTATGACAGAGAGAGAGAGAGAGAGAGAGAGAGAGAGAGAGCGTGTGCGCGTGCGTGTGCGCGTGCGTGTGTGTGCGTGAGAGTGCGAGAGTCATATTGCTCTTACGTAATACCAGCTATAGAGTTTAGTTAATGGTTAAATCCAATGTTAAATATAAAGCAATTTAAATATCTCTCTTGTCACAATAATTTTCTCTAATTGCCTCTCGAGCGTAATAATAATATTACGCGCATTACTGGGATGTAAGTTATGAAAAAGAAAGGAAGAAAGAAAGAAAGAATGAAAAAAACAAAAAAAAAACAAAAAAACAAAAAAAAAACAATGGAATAATCAATAAAGCCTCATCGAATGGCCCCCTTAATAAATAATTCCGAGCTATAAATGCCGCGCGAGTCGTATATATTTGTCGATCGTTTTTAAAAAATCGCGAACGAAAATAGATACACCGAATAATTAACACCCACGGCGGATGCTAATTTTAGTACGTTAAAGAGCGAGAAAAGCGAAGGTACGAATGAGAAAGAATTCGTTCACTGAAGTCCACTGTGTAAATATAGACGGATGGTAAATAAGGTTTGTTTTGTGAGCAGCTGGATAACGAATAATGTTAACGATTTATGTATTTAAACAACATTACGATTTTACAACTTACTTTTGGGACGCCCTACCCCTACAAAAAAGAAAGTACAGATCGGTTAATAAATTTGAAGGAAAATAATCAATGGCAAGCTTGCTTGTCTATCGCATCCTGGTCTACATTATCAATTATTATGGTGCATTTTTGCATTTTAAAAGCAAATCCTCTTATCATATTTACGCATTGCTTATAAACGATTCAATTTTCTATCTTTCAATCTTTTTTTTTATTTTTTTTTTTTTTTTTTTTTTTTTTTTTTTTTTTTTTTTTTTTTTTATTTTTATTTTCATTCTTTTTATATATTTTATATTTTTTTATATTTTATATTTTTTATTTTTTTTTTTTTTTTTTTTTCCTTTCTTTTTTTTTTTTAAAAATTTTGTTTTTGTTGACGTTGTGCACTTTTCTATTTAGATTTTTTTTTCTTCTTCTTTTATTTTTGTTGTATTTAATTTTTTTTTTTCTTTCTTTATTTTATGCCACTTTGTGCGTGATCCTCTTACGATTCATCACAATCATCATGGTAGCGGACTTTGGCGTCGATCGTTTTATGCAGACTGCAGCTTATAACGCCGAATCATCGTATTTATCCGCTCTATATTCACTCGACATGAATCGCGCGCTACATTGAGCAACATTGAGCTACGGCGAGCGAAAGAACTTGGACTCGGATTAAGTCCTTGTTTACGATTATACCAATATCATGATAAATATATCCGGATAATGGCTGCATTAAGGTAAAGTGGCCGATTTGTTGACGAGAGCTAGAGTAAAAGCCAAGCGGAGCTTAAGATTGAGACTTTTGTCGTTGTCGTCGTCGTTGCTTTTGTTTTTACGTCTAGAGTGAATATTTGCAATTGTAATGCGCATGGAAATAAACGGAAGTCTGCATGTGTTGGGTGACCTGCCCTCATTATTTTAGAGAAAAGCCGCACGACACAAGCTCTTCACCTAGGAAGACTCGAGCTGCGAGCTAATGTAGGCGCGCTGACAAGAATAACAAGAATACAATATACTACGCATGAGAATAAGAATGAGCATTGGCAACAGAAACAAAATGTGGTTTAAGTACGTACTGCCAGCGAGCAGAAATGCATGTGGGTGTGCGTGCGTGTTCGCGTGCGAGAGATAAAGAGATAGATAGTAGGAAAAGTTGAAAACAAAGAAAACGTATTAATTGGTCGTTATTGAGTGATAATGTAGCAGTGGGGTTGGCTGGCGGGTAGGTTAATTGATACGAAGGAAGAGTGAACTGACGACACAAATTATCAAGATTATATAAAAGCACGCGGTTATGATTGGTATTTTATATTTCATTGTTCAGTGCGCGTGCCTTTCTCTTGGCTTCTCATTGTTCTTCAATTTTTCGTTTATATTCACGTGCAAATCTTAGCATATCATTCCTCTTTAACTTTAACTGCGCTTATAAATCGTCTCATTCGTAGTGATATTCATCATTTTTTTTTTTTTTTTTTGTTGACGTTGTGCACTGTACGAGTACGGTAGGTGTAAGAGAGTAAATAAGGTATGTAAAGATTTAACGCTCAACGGCTGAACAGTACGAACGAGTAATCGTAAGTACTTATGTCAAGGAAATGTAGTATCGACGGTTGCGTTTGGGTCGCTCTCGCGCTATATGACGTTTCAATTAAGCAAATAAAAATAAATGTTTTTATTGATCGTATCGCACACGTGTTACGGCCAGCAGTCGTTATTATTTTTTCTATTTACTATTTAGATTTTTTTTTCTTCTTCTTTTATTTTTGTTTTTTCGTTTGTTTGTTTGTTTGTTTGTTTTCTTTTGCTTTCTATTGAGACATGTACAGAAAAATGTAAGAAAAGAAAAAAAGAAGAGAGAGAGAGAGAGAGAGAGAGAGAGAGAGAAAATTAAGTAAAACGAAAGATTGACCGAGGTCGAATTGTGAAATATGGCAGATAAGCCACAGGTTTTTATTTATTTAATTTGCGCTAGAAGAAACATGTCTGCGTCAGCAAAGGCAGCAGCAATTATTGCGAGAGTATAAAATACGGCAAAACTACGTAACATAATAAAAGAGGTGAGTGGATTTTACGATACTTGACAAGTATAGAAGAAAAAAAAAAGTAGCGTCATTTATTAAACAAAAGAACAAAAGAAAAATTGTAAAAAAATATAGATAAATAAGAATTATACGACATAGGTAAACGTTTACATAGCAGCAATAGACAAAGTTGCAGCACGACGATGTTTGCCACTTGTTATTTCATCTTTCTTTAACAAAAGTAAAAATTAAGAGCGAGAAATGCTTATATCGGACAAAAATTCAATCGAAAAAAATAGTTTGTGCAAAAATTAAAAAAAAAAAAAAAAAAAAAAACATAAACGAAAATATGACAAGTTAAAAGAATAAATATATATATATATATATATATTGAAAAATTGGAGATTAAGTGAAAAAGTAATTGAAATATCGTCGTGCTACATCCCGTAATGATGTAGAAAGAGCTAGTAGTTTTTAAGGTAGCGAACGATCAAGACTGCGACCGACAATAAAAATAAATAAATAAATGATAACAAAAAAATAAAAAATAAAAAATAAAAAATAATGAAAATAATAAAAACAGTAGACATAGACAAACATGAAGAAAAAAAAATTATACGACAGAAACTCTAGAACTTACTCGATCTTCTTCTCCGGTTGCCTTTTGTTCGATCAAATCGGTTCGCGCGATCGGTCGGATGATGGATTTGGTAATTGAGACGATGTTTGGTTTGGTTTGTGTGTGTTTTTTTTTTTTTTTTTTTTTTTTTTTTTTTTTGTCGTGATAGAGAGAGAAAAATGGAAAGATAAAAAAAAAAAAACAGATAAAAACCAGAGTCAGTTATTGGCTTTCATTTTTTTTTATAATGGGGCAAATGTATTATGGGTCAAAGGGATACGGGACATATTACATATTATTGATATTAATCATCTTTTAATTTGGGCACGGATAATAGGAAGTGACGGTAGAATTATAATTTCCTCCCACTATTAAATTGGAATATTAAAATTGACGATATTCCATTTAAGCTTTAAGATTTAAGATTTAATATTTCGATAATAAAACTTTTGCCTATTTTAAAGAAGTAGAAAAACCCCCATCTACATTCTATAAATGCCATGGAAAAACAATATATGCACATAGATAATAACTAATAAATAAATATTTTACCGTTTTTAAAATTAAATTTAACTGTCGTTGATAGTTGGGCGACATGTTTGAATGGAAAGAATATTTAAACGAGACGGACGAGTCTAACGGAATTTGCCAGGCTTTGAAAAAAATATTCACCGAGGGCAAACAGTCTGTTTTATGATAAATTCAAAGTTAATTTTATTAACTGCGTTTTGCGTTCGGTTAGTTGAAAGTTGTATTTCAAATATCATGGCGCGTTTGATCGATAGTTTTTTTTAACGAGAACGATGATAAGGGAGAGGGAGACATATGCTACGTTATCGAACTAGGATAAGGCTCGCTTTAATGACATTTTTCACCAGCTTGCGCAACAACAAAAAAAAATCCTATAAATTTTCAAATACAGCTGCTGCAAAATTTTACGTTTAAAAGTCGCGACGGCACGTTGGATCGCTTAGAAAATCTCCATTGCCATTTGCATTGTCTTAATCTACTCTCTAATAATATGCGAATCTAATAATAATGCGAATTAAAGCTGGTGTAACGAGGCCTACCTTACGATCGACCTTTATTTGCCCGTTTAATCGCATTCCGAACCCTACTCATCGACATCTACATGGACGTTGCGTTCCGATTTCTCGCGGATTATTTTGCGGAGAAATTAAAAACGAGGGCGCAAAGAGAGCGAGATATATATATATATATATATATATATATATATATATATATATA